TGTAAAGTCAGTTTAGGGATCAGAGAATTGCAAAGTTGGAAGGGACAAGCAAGGGCCATCTCCTTCAACCCGCTTTCGTTTACACAACAAAAGAACTCCTACATGCAGTAGAGTCTTGCTTATCCGACCTTCGCTTATCCGACATTCTGTCTTATCCGACGCTCGGATAATTGAGACTCTACTGTACTCCCCTCAAAGTGTGGAGAGATCATCGACCTTCGGAGAATCTCTTTGACTGTAAGATAGCTCTTAACTGTAAAAAAGATCATTCCAAATGTTCAAGTGGAATCTCTTTTCCTGTAATTTGAATCCGTCCATTTGTGTTCTAGTCTCTGGAGCAACAGAACACCCAACCTGGCTCCATCCTATCAGATATTTAAATGTAGCTTCCCCTTCCTATAGGATAGTGGTTCTCAACCTGGGGTCCCCAGATGTTTTTGGCCTGCAACTCCCAGAAATCCCAGCTAGTTTACCAGCTGTTAGGAATTCTGGGATTTGTAGGCCAAAAACATCTGGGGATCCCAGGTTGAGATCCACTGCTACAGAATAACAGTCATCACTCATTTCTGTCAAGTCTATGACATCCCTGGTTGGGAAAGATCTGGTGGCAAACCTATAGCCAACTGGCATTGAGTAAGACTAGACTAAGTGAACCCATAGTCTTGTTCAGTTGTTCCCAACTTTTGGGCCACCAGGTGTTTTGGACTTCAGCTTCCACAATTCCTAACAGCTGATAAAATTTATTTATTTATTTACGTCACTTCTATCCCGTCCATATCAGCCCGAAGGCAACTCAGGACGAAGTACAAATCGGCAACAATTAGATGCCATATATAAAAATATATATGTTGGTTAAAAGCAAAAAATCACATCACAATACATTTAAAAACCATAAAAACAATAACAATAAAAATTATAAAAACTATGTCTTCTTGTTCAATTCCTCATGCGACGATACTCACGTGAGTATCGTCATGTGATTTCTGGGATTTCTGGGAGTTGAAGTCCAAAACACCTGGAGGCCCAAAGGTTGGATCTTAGGAAACAACCATGGTCTAGCAGTCAGTTCAAAAAAGTGGCCTTTTCAACCTCTGAGTTGAAGGCAACATTATTTGAATGACTCAAGTCAACCAAGACATGGAATCACTCAGGGCTAACCATTCTGAACTTACGTCAGCATTACGTCTTTGGTATATTTTGGACTACTGGAAGTCAGGTGCCTCTGAAGGACTCGTCCCCATAAGCAACTGGTGTGGTTTTCTCCTGGTGTTAGTGGGGCAATGCTTACTTGAAATGCCTAAGGCATAGAATCATTCGCTACTGAGAAAGGGAAGAGATGTCTTGGAGAGAGAATAATGTTCTCTTAAGGAATTCCATAACAGAGGTTTATAGGTTACTAGCCGTCCCCTGCCATGAGTTGCTGTGACCCAATCTGTATATATGTGTATTGTGTGTGTATATATTTATATATGTGTGTATATGTGTGTTTGCATATATAAATATATATATGGGTGTATATGTGTGTGTGCATAGGTGTGTATACATATGTGGATATATGTGTGGATATATTTGTGTGTTTATATGTATATATGTATATTGTGTATATGTGTGTGCTTGTCTATATGCATATTTGTGTGTGTATATGTGTATGTATGTGTGCATGTGTATATTTGTGTGTGTTAATGTGTATATGTATATATGTGTGTATGTATATGTATGTGTGTATATTTGTCTGTGCTTGTGTATATATGTGTGCATGTGTATATGTATTTGTGTTTATATTTGGTGTAATTTTGGGGTTTTTAAGTCCGTTCTGCTGGGGGGGGGTTGTTTGTTTGTGTGTGTTTTTAAGGGTGATGAACACTCGTTGAACTGTTAGGTGTCTTGTGTCCAAATTTGGTATCAATTGGTCCAGTGGTTTTTGAGTTATTTTAATCCCACAAACGAACATTATATGTTTATTTATAGAGATATGAGATCTTATAATCCCTTATAGTATCCGTCACCAAGACACTTGGAAGGCCATCATCCTTTGACAACAAGGGATTGCCTTAGTAAGTAAAGTATAGTCCCTTATTTCTCACCTACTGCCTAAATACTCATTCCTATCTAATCATAAGTCTATTCCTATTGCGATATTCCCATTGTTTATACCATTTTGTAGGCAATTAATAGTCTCTCTTGGCTATTCTGAATGCATCTCAAGTAGTTACAACTACCAAAATGACTTGGTTTGATGATTTCTGAGTGAGAAAGTACTTTGCCTCTGATCATTGGTACGCATGGCTGGTCTTGTTCGATGTTGCTGTGTCTCTATAAACAACATTGTGCCTTTTCCTGAATGTACAAAGTTTGTGGCAACTTATTGTGTGAAACAAACAAACATGTGACCAAATCGTGGTAGGTCAATAATGATTCCTTGCTTAGCCAAAACATGAACTTCTGAAGCCAGTGTGCATTTATAGAGTGTGACCTTTGTTTATACATCCTGGAATGCAATCTCATCATCTACATTATGTGACTTTATGTATACGGTAGAGTCTCGCTTATCCAACCTTGGCTCATCTGACGTTCTGTATTATTATCCAATACAGTCTGCCTCCCCCCACAGCTATTTCAATATATTGCGATGTTTCTGTGCTCAATTCATAAATACAGTAATTGCTACATAACGTTATCATGTACTGAACTGCTTTTTTCTGTCGATTTCTTGTAAAACATGATGTTTTGGTGCTTAATTTGTAAAATCATAATGTAATCGTGCAAAGATACAGAATGGGGGACGCCTGGCTCGAGAGCAGTACGTGTGAAAAAGATCTTGGAGTCCTAATGGACAACAAGTTAAACATGAGCCAGGAATGTGATGTGGCGGCAAAGAAAGCCAATGGAATTTTGACCTGCATCAGAAGGAGCCTAGTGTCTAGATCTAGGGAAGTCATGCTCCCCATGCTCTATTCTGCTTTGGTTAGACCACACCTGGAATATTGTGTCCAATTCTGGGCACCACAATTCAAGAGAGATATTGACAAGCTGGGATGTGTCCAGAGGAGGGCGACTCAAATGATCAAGGGTCCGGAGAGCAAGCCCTATGAGGAGCGGCTTAAAGAGCTGGGCATGTTTAGCCTGAAGAAGAGAAGGCTGAGAGGAGATATGATAGCCATGTATAAATATGTGAGAGGAAGCACAGGGAGGAGGGAGCAAGCTTGTTTTCTGCTTCCTTGGAGACTAGGACGCGGAACAATGACTTCAAACTACAAGAAAGGAGATTCCATCTGAACATGAGAAAGAACTTCCTGACTGTGAGAGCCGTTCAGCAGTGGAACTCTCTGCCCCGGAGTGTGGTGGAGGCTCCTTCTTTGGAAGTTTTTAAACAGAGGCTCTATGGCTATCTGTCAGGGGTGCTTTGAATGCAATATTCCTACTTTTTGGCAGAGGGTTGGACTGGATGGCCCATGATGTCTCTTCCAACTCTATGATTTTATAATTCTATAATTTGACGTTGAATAGGCTTTTCCTTAATCCCTCCTTATTATCCAAAAATTTGCTTATCCAGTATTCTGCCAGCCCACTTATGTTGGATAAGCGAGACTCTACTGTATTTAGCTAAACAGCAGAGACACTAAGAAATCCTGTTGATGATTTGCAGAGATGTGTTACAGAATACCAGCAAAAGTGCCGATGTGATGCACCTTGGGACTAATTCACATTGGGACTGTTGCGCATTGGTTCCATTGTGTCAGGAGTAGTTTGTTCACTCCGCTATGTAGTAATATAACAGCAGCCTTCTGCAAAATATCAACGTCACAAAACTGCCCAATTCCAATACCCACGTTAAATCTTCTTATATAGACACAAGTCAACAACAGGATTCTAGACATTGTCCCTGGCAATGGAAAGAATGCAAAATATCTAAGAACCATTTTTGCATGTACCAAGAAATTAAGTTAAGTTATGACATATTATTTTCCTCTGACAATTAAAGTACAGTACATTTCTGTTTTCTGCTTTGTTTTGTTTTTTTAATGACCCGGAAAAACGGATTTATTGCAAAGCAAGAAGGAAGCCCTTGCTCAAGACACTTTGGAATGTAAAATAGGATTTGTGGAGAGGATTATACCTTTCGTAAACAGTAGTGGAATTTGTTTCCTTGTGCTACAGTCAACTGCATCGATATTTACAGTAATAGGAAAAATGGGATCACTAAAAACAGAGCACCTGAATGTTTAATATACAGCACTGGAACAGAGCCAAGCCAACAATCATGAGTTTGCTCTGATTCATAAATATCTTCCCATAAAAAAAAAACAACAACAATATTTATTACGGCCCATAGACCACTTCTCGGCCTTTTGGCTAAAATCAAATGTATCTTCCGATATATATATTCCCCTCTCCCCATCTATATACACAAGAGGGACCTTGTTATTGTTGGGTTGTTGTAGGTTTTTTCAGGCTATATGGTCATGTTCTAGAGGCATTCTCTCCTGACGTTTCGCCTGCATCTATGGCAAGCATCCTCAGAGGTAGTGAGGTCTCACCTCATTAACTCTGAGGATGCTTGCCATAGATTCAGGTGAAATGTCAGGGGAGAATGCCTCTAGAACATGGCCATATAGCCCGAAAAAACCTACAACAACCCAGTGATTCCGGCCATGAAAGCCTTCGACAATACCTTGTTATTGTTGTTGGCTTAGCAAGATATTGGAGAAGAGCCTGTGTATGTAGTCTTCCCAAAACTTTTGTTGGCTTATCTCCCCTTTTACCCAGTTTGGAAAGCCTAGATCAGTTGCTGGTTTGAAGCATCTCCTCTTATAGACCCCAGAGCCAATTCAGATGTATGTGAATAACAGGTCTTCAATGTGAGTATACCTCAAAAGATGCCTGAGTTGCGTAAGGATGCAACTCCATGGAGAAAACTTGCAAGCTTTTGAGTAAGTATAATAAGAGAAGCCTAGCAACTCTGTATTAATAATGTCTGTAAAAGGCTTTTCACATATCTCTTTTGTTGGGTCAGGGTGTTTATTTTTGAATTAGTCACCTAATATATATCTATATACATAATAAAAGTGAAATTATGTGTATGTGTATGCGCGGCTGGTTTGTCCACTTACACAGTCAGGCTCCTGTCTCTGTAAACAGCTCTAGCTCCCACTACTCAGGAGACACCAAAGACCCTCCCTCCAATGATACTGCAGGTTATAGAGAGCACTGTAAACATGTCCAAGAGTCCTGCCAATGTCCTCCACAAACACCATACTGCCCACCACCCAAATGAAGGCTTTCATACAGGGACAGTGCTATATTCTGCCTTGGTTAGACCACACCTGGAATACTGTGTCCAATTCTGGGCACCATAATCGGAGAGATATTGACAAGCTGGAATGTGTCCAGAGGAGGGCGACTAAAATGATCAAGGGTCTGGAGAACAAGCCCTATGAGGAGCGGCTTAAAGAGCTGGGCATGTTTAGCCTGCAGAAGAGAAGGTTGACAGGAGACATAATAGCCATGTATAAATATGTGAGGGGAAGTCACAGGGAGGAGGGAGCAAGCTTGTTTTCTGCCACCCTGGAGACTAGGAGGTGGAACAATGGCTTCAAACTATAAGAAATGAGATTCCTCCTTAACGTTAGGAAGAACTTCCTGACTGTGAGAGCCGTTCAGCAGTGGAACTCTCTGCCCCGGACTGTGGTGGGGGCTCCTTCTTTGGAAGCTTTTAAACAGAGGCTGGATGGCCACCTGTCAGGGGTGCTTTGAATGCAATTTTCCTGCTTCTTGGCAGAATGGGGTTGGACTGGATGGCCCACGAGGTCTCTTCCAACTCTATGATTCTATAAACTGGGAGGTAAAAACCCGCGAAACAGTGAGTCTGCAAAAAGCAAACTATGAAGTAGCGAGGGAACACTGTAATTCCCCTTTGTTTGTCTGTTAACCAATGCAACAGGTGTTTGTGAATCCAATGTAGTTACATAGAATCTGTATGTCTATATGTCCAATGCCATTCTTTGTGCAAACATTCTGATGCCCTCTCACGCTGGAAATTGCAATTAAAAGAACCAATGCTTTAAAGCAGGGGTCCTCAAACTTTTTAAACAGATGGCCAGGTCACAGTCCCTCAAACTATTGGAGGGCCAAATTATAATTTGAAAATAACAAGAATGAATTCCTATGCACACTGCACACATCTTATTTGTTGTTCAAAAAACACTTTAAAACAATACAATAATTAAAATGGAGAACAATTCTAACAAATATAAACTTATTAGTATTTCAATGGGAAGTGTGGGCCTGCTTTTGGATGATGAGATAGGATTGTTGTTGTTGTGTGCTTTCAAGTCGTTTCAGACTTAGGTTGACCCTGAGCGAGGGCCAGGTAAAGGACTTTGGAGGGCCATATCCGGCCCCCGGGCCGTAGTTTGAGGACCCCTGCTTTAAAGCTATTGAAAAGTTATTCATGCCAGTTGTTCCCCAGTGTAAGAACATTTCCCTAACTTTTTTGAAGGGAGGGAATTGATTAAGGCCTCTAGTTCACTGCTGTGATGGTTTTCACCTTTCCCAATCAAATTCATTTTAATACAGATATATAGTAATATATATATATATATATAAAAGTATCAAACTTCGTAGACAATTTCTGTTGCAACAGGAAGCTGGTATTGATAGAAGCATCTCAGTGTGAAGTGACCCAAAACGAAAATGAGAGTGACTGGAGGAGAACGATAGAGGGTCCAAGGTCTCCAAGAGTATTGACCAGCCGTGAAACCACAGCATCTGAGTGCCAAGTCATGGTTTCCCCTTCGGCGTGTGCTGTGAAAACAACAACAACCACTCGGCACCACTGTTCTGAGTGCAAATATCTTTCCAAAGCGAGGCTGCAAGAGGAGCGTGCGTCTTCATTGTACTTCACCGAACAACATAAATACATATCCCTGAGAAAGATGAGAGGAGGTGGCGGGTTTGTTTTCTTTTTTGACAGTCCAACCTGGTTGAATGAAGCTGTACAGGCATTCCTGCTTTGCCATCGCTTCCTACAAAAAAGGCATTGACTCCTGAGTGAAACTCTTCGTTAAAAAAATAGATTTTAAAAATCCTGGCAACAGGAGCATTTTCTTAAGGCTTTGAAGGAAAAGGATGGGAAGAGCAGATCTTGACGGGAATAAGCTGCTGTCAAGGATGAGGCCCTTCGGTGCCGGATTAGGAAGACCCCTGTATTTGCCAGGCATGCGTTCCCAGCTGGACCGCAATTACCTGAGACCGCAGATATGAGCGCACACAATTTAATTTCCTGACCTCTAGTCCCATAGAGTTGCATTCAAGGATCTAAAGACCTTGGTTATAAGCAAACACTATTAAATTACATGACCTCTAATCCCATAAAGTTGTATTGGAGGATCTAGAGACCTTGGATACCAGTGAATGCCATTTATGGAGCCCCCAGTGGCACAATGGGTTAAACCCTTGTACTGGCAGGTCGGATGTTCAAATCCAGGTAGAGCATGAATGAGCTCCTTCTGTCAGCTTTAGCTCCCCATGCAGGGACATGAGAGAAGCCTCCCACAGGACAGTAAAACATCAAAATATCTGAGCGTCCCCTGGGCAGCGTCCTTGCAGACAGCCAATTCTCTCACACCAGAAGCGACTTGCAATTTCTCAAGTCGCTCCTGTGTCGGAAAAAAATGGACTTCTAATCCCAGAATACCATCGCAATACCTCTCTACGATTTTGTTATGTCCTTCAGAGCAAATCTTTCATAACTTCTGATACATTTTCCCTAGGAAAATGCAGATATGGAGTTCACGGTTACATGGGTCTTGCTGTCCGTCATAGGAGGCTAATTCAGCTCTGTTGAATATTTTCTTCTCCAGAGTTCCAGAGAGGGAAAGAGTCCTCCATTTTGGGGTGGGAAGGGATGTAGAGGAGTCTTTCCAAGGAAACGAGAAGCAAAGTGTGCAATGCAAATAGCTCCAAATCCTAGAATTGGGTACAACAAGGAGGAGGCCAAAGTGCAAGCATCTCAGGGGGAGCTGGCGGGGCTGGTGGTGGGGCTGGAGGCGTCCGAGCGGCTGTAGTCACTCACAGACCCGGTCCTGGAGCCGCTCCCACCCCTCCGCTTGAGCATGCTGGGGTGGAAGTTAGCGTGCCGGCGAGCGTGCTTCGTCAGGTGGTCGCTGCGCATGAAGCGCTTCTCGCAGAGCGGGCAGCCAAACTTTTTCTCCCCAGTGTGGGTGCGGAAATGCCGGGCCAGCTCATCCGAACGGGCAAATTTCTTGTTGCATTCCTCCCAGCGGCATTCGAAAGGCCTCTCCCCTGCCAAGAGAAGAAAGTAAGAGTCTCAGACCAGGGTAGTGATGTTGTTATCCTATTTGCATTCAAAAGGGATCGCAGGGTGCACCTGCGCTGTAGAATTTGAGGAGATTATCACACCACACTGTCAAAGCACTGCTATTCTGCTTTAAATCCTATGACTGCCTCCTTTGGAATTCAGAGGTTTGTAATTCAATGAGGCTGAGAATTTTAAAGGCCTTTACCTAAACTGCAGATCCCAGGGTACCATACCAGTAAAAGTGAAATAATGCACTTTAACAGCATAATGTGATAATCTCCATTACATAAACTGCAGATCTCAGAATACCATTGTAATAAAAGTGAAATAACGCACTTTAACAGCATAGTGTGATAATCTCCTTTACCCCAACTGCAGATCCCAGGATACCATAGCATTAAAAGTGGAATAGCGCACTTCAACAGCATAGTGTAATAATCTCCTTTACCTAAACTGCAATTCTCAGGATACCATCGTAGTAAAAGCGGAATAGCATGCTTTAACAACATAGTGTGATAATCTCCTTTACCTAAACTGCAGATCTCAGGATACCATGGTAGTAAAAGTGGAATAGCGCACTTTAACAACACAGTGTGATTATATCCTTTACCTAAACTGCTGATCTCAGGATACCATGGTAATAAAAGTGGAACAGCGCACTTTAACAGCATAGTGTGATAATCTCCTTTACCTAAACTTCAGTCATCAGGATACCACTGTAGTAAAAGTGAAATAGTGCGCTTCAACAGCATAGTGTGGTAGTCTCCTTTAACTAAACTGCAGATCTCAGGATGCCATAGCAGTTTTATTAACGTCTTAATGAGGCATTTAATTACTGCCAATTTTGAAGCCGCTCTGAGTTCCCTTCAGGGTTGAGAAAGAGAGGGGTGTAAATACAGTAAATAAATAATTTCCAATTTATTTATTTCCAACATTTCTACCCCACCCCTCTCAACCCCCGAGGGGGGACTCAGAGCAGCTTAAATAAAGACATATACATAATAAAAGTGAAAAATGTGTATGTGTGTATGTGGCGAAGGTGTCCACTTCCATAGACAGCCTCTGACCCACCAAAACAGTCTATAGTTCCAAGTGCTGAGAACCCTCCAGAGGCACTCCCTCAACTGACATTGCGGGTTAGAGCGAACGCCATGAACATGTAGCCCCAGAGGCGGCCCTAGGTAATTTTCAATGGTAAGCAAACAGTATTTTGCCCCCCCCCCCCCGCCAACCAATCATTGATATATATTTTCTGTTTGTCGTGGGAGTTCTGTGTGCCATATTTGTTTCAATTCCATCATTGGTGGAGTTCAGAATGCTCTTTGATTGTAGGTGAACTATACATCCCAGTAACTACACTTGCCGCACTTGCTTCCTTGCCTGGCCTGCTTTGGGTCCGGAGGCGTGCCTGAAGACCCCGGCGTGTGCACCAAAAGTCACCTCTTCTCCTGACTTTCTCCTCAGCCATTGGGACCAAGAGAGAGAGAGAGAGAGAGGTGGAGATGCCCACCTTTCCTGAAGGTAGGTGCAAAAACAAAGGAGGGAGCGGAGGTGGGAGATACCTCCAGCCGGAGGGGCTCTCTCTCTCTCTCTCTCTTGGTCCCGATGGCTGAAGAGAAAGTCAGGAGAAGAGGCGACTTTTGGTGCGCACGCTGGGGTCTTCAGACACGCCTCCGGACCCGAAGCGGGCCAGGCGTGGCGGCCCCCTTGGCCCCCCTGCGGATTGGGGAGAGGAGAGGAGGCGGGTGGAGCGCCGGGGGATCGGGAAAGGGAGCCGGTCATGGGGAAGGGATCAAACGCGGAGAACGATTGAGCGCCGGCTCTGCTCGTGCACCCGGTGGCCAGGTGGAGCAGGAACGAGAGGGGCTAGGCGAGGCTCAAGGGCCCGGCCCCTTTGGGAAGAGGATCGCCCGGCAGCGAGGCAAGAAAGCCGAGGCTCCCCCCGGACTGCTAGGGCTGTTGTGAGCTGAGGGGGCGCTCCTCAAGTGGCGGTCGAGGGGCATTTACAGAGGCGCCTCTGCACCCCTGGCAAAAAAAAGTGTTCTGCGACCGCTTACTTCGCGTAATGGACGAGCCGCCCCTGTGTAGCCCTGACCCTCCAAACACTACAGCTCACCACCCAAGGAATGCTTTCATTCAGGGATAGTTTCATCCTAGATTTGACATGTTTCCTCCAGCACAGACAGGCATTCTTGTGTGGAATTTGCATGACCCCACCCACTGCCTCTCCTTTAATCCTCTCCTACCCTTTCCAATAGCACTCAGCAAACAGAGGGCATGATCAGCAACCAAATAGGCTGGAGGGATTTGGGGGAACTAACTCAACAGGATGGAAGTTATAGTGCACACGGCATCAGAGCATTCTGACCCCCTTTGATAATGGACCTGGGCCACATTTGGCACTCAGATCCCCCATGACCAGGTTTGGGGGGATTTATAAGAGTTGTAGTTCACCTACAGCCAGAGTACTGTGAACCCAGTCAATGACGGATCTGGAGCAAACTTGCAGCACAGACCCAACATGGCCAACTCTGCATACTGGCAGAGCCTGGTGTGATTGCCCTGGGAATCTGGGAGTTGTCGTTCACCCTTATCCAGAGAGCACTGAACCCAGCTGATGATGGATCTGGATCAAACTTTTCACACAGAACCAACATGGGCAACTGTGATCATTGACTGGGTTTGTGGGTGATTGCCCTGAGAATCTGGGAGCTGTAGTTCACCCTTATCCAGAGAGCACTGAACCCAGCTGATATCAGATCCAGACCACACTTGTAACACAGACCCAACATGGCCAACTTTGAGTCATGGCAGGATTTGGGAAGGATTGACCCATGATTCTGGGAATCCCACATCCTTATGCATTTTCTAATGGGATCATTCAACAACAACAAAAGAAGGAAAGATTGGCTTTTTTCTAATAAATAGCATTATACATTACCAAACTGATATTACCAAACTTCAAAAAACAAACAATGCCTTTCTCAAATAACTCGGGCACCGCCGGGTCCCAAAGCCAGTAAATAAATAAAAGTGAGAGCATATTTCACAAATGAAAAAAAGGGAATGTTCGTTAGTGTGCATCAAGCCCACTTAGCACTTTTGTCTACTATTTACTGCATGCTTGACTTAAGAGTGCGTAACATCTAATGGGTAATCTGCCTCCAAGTCAGGCATGATCCCTCTCTCACCGTCCCTCCCCTTCCATTGTTTGGTTCTTTATTTTTAAACTGAATCCCCGTTTCTATGGAGTTTCTCAGTGCATGGGAGGAGGCATCCTCAAGACCATTGGGGCATCCTATTTGTGGGCCACCAGTTTCGTGGGCTTTGACAGGGAGACAAATGAGGAGGCGTGGCGAGGTTGTTGGCTCCTTTTCCTCCTTGAATTATGTCTGCCATATTCCTCTTACGTTAATATAGAACGGCCACTCCACAGCTCCAGTCAAATCAGGCACAAAATCAGAAAGGACAATGGCAAGCCTTCATCCAAAATCCCTTACTTTAGATAGATTTGCATATCTATCGACCTATATATAGATTAAAATGTAATGTTCGTTTGTGGGATTAACATAACTCAAAAACCCTTGGCGAATTGACACCAAATTTTACACAAAACACCTCTCAGGCCAACAAGTGACCATCACTTATGAAAATACTGAAAAACACAGCAGAAGAGACTTCAAAAGCCAAAAAATAAAAAAAATACATTACAACGCATGCACATAACCACATTCACCAAGACAAGGGGTGGTGGTGCAGTGGGTTAAACCCCTGTGCCTGCAAGACTGAAGAGTGACAGGTCGCAGGTTCGAATCCAGGGAGAGGCAGATGAGCTCCCTCTATCAGCTCCAGCTCCTCATGCTGGGACATGAGAGAAGCCTCCCACAAGGATGATAAAAACATCAAATCATCCGGGCATCCCCTGGGCAACGTCCTTGCAGATATACACATATATACACATGTAAACATATATACACACACAAAACACATATACACAGACAGGGGACGGTTAGTTCTATATAAATAAAAATGTAATGTTTGTTAACTCAAAAACCACTGAGGGAATTGCCACCAAATTTGGACAAAATACACTTATTAACCCAAGGAGTAACCATTAGACCAAAAATTGGATTTTGTCATTTGGGAGTTGTAGCTGCTGGGATTTATAGTTCACCTACAATCAAAGAGCATTCTGAACCCCACCAATGATGGAATTGAATCAAACTTGGCACATAGGACTCCCACAACCAACAGAAAATTCTGGAAGGGTTTGGTGGGCATTGACCTTGAGTTTGGTAGCTGTAGTTCACCTACATCCAAAGATCACTGTGGACTCAAACAATGATGGATCTGGACCAAACTTGGCACAAATACTTCATATGCTCAAATGTGAACACAGATGGAGTGTGGGGGGAGGGGGGGGAAAGACCTTCACACTTGAGAGTTGTAATTTATAGTTCACCTACAATCAGAGAGCAAAAAACACACGACCAACAGAAAATACTGTGTTTTTGGTGGTCTTTGGCGACCCTTCTGACACCCCCTCACGACCCCCCCAGGGGTCCCGACCCCCTAGGTTGAGAAATGCTGATTTAAGGCCATCCAGTCCGACTCCCTTCACCAGGGCAAAAAATATAATCAAAGCCCTCCTGACAAAGAGCCATCCAGTCATAGATAGAGATAGATATGATTCACACACAGAGAGAGATATAGTATCATAGATCTGAAAGGGACTCCTAAAGAAGGACAATTATATGTTGCATGTTCCAGAGTGGGCAAACCAGACAATCTCCACATCAACACTGACAAAGAAACAACAAGAAGAACTGTTTACCCACAAGCATAAAGAAATCACATATATTAGAAACCAACACTTCTCATAACTTTATTTTCCAGATCACCAGATAGGCCACAGCAACGCCTGGCAGGGGGCAGCTAGTCATACATAAGGAGATGTCTTAAAGATAGGATCCAACTCTGAACA